TGAAAGCCTTCGACAATACATTGACAACCTACCTTATCGAGATGTGGAAATAACAGCCAGGAACAAACAATGGAGGTGCCGATTTCAGCACCGCCCCAACATTTTTATTTTATTCTCAATCTTTAATTTGGTTCTGGTTCAGTTGCCTGCTATAATATCTTTTTGCATTTGGTTAAAAAATAGAAGCATGTAACAGGAATTTTCCTTCATGATTAATCTTGACTCCTATCTGTATCTGTCTAGGTACCCTCTTGGCAGAATTGCGAGAATATAACTTGGAGCAGCAGCGCCGGGCCCAATGTGAGTCCCTTTCACCTGATGGGCTACCTGAGGAGCAACCTCAAACCACCAAATTGAAAGGCAAGATGCAAAGCAGGTGAGTTTCCTTCAAGAGAGTCTCTGAATTCCTTGTTCTGGGTGGCCTCATCTGATCAATCCCCCCTTCTTGGTTCCTTTATTTTGGCAGGTTTGACATAGCTGAGAACGTAGTGATTGTAGCCTCGCAGAAGCGCCCTCTGGGTGGCCGGGAGCTGCAGCTACCCTCAATGTCCATGCTGACCTCTAAGACCTCCACGCAGAAGTTTTTCTTGAGGGTGCTGCAGGTTATCATTCAGCTGCGGGATGACACACGCCGTGCCAACAAAAAGGCAAAACAGACAGGCAGGCTAGGTATGTCGACCAGGACAGGAAGGTCTGTGTGCTGTCTCTTGTGGGCAGTGGGGTGGGAGGTGGGAAACTGAGCCAGGCAACTGCAGTACTTTCCTGCAGAAGTCTTGACAGAGGTCCCGAGGACCCTCCATGTATATAAGGAGCTCAAGCAGGGGATGGAAAAAGTGAGTGGCATGTCTGAAAAGTTGAGCTTGAATGCACAGTTTTCATCCTCCCCCTCCCCCCGCTCTTTGTGCAGGTACTTCCGGTCTGGGCTCAGTTAGCAGCATCCAGGCCGCTGTTCGGCAGCTGGAGGCTGAGGCTGACGCCATTATACAAATGGTACGTGAGGGTCAGAGGGCCCGGAGGCAGCAGCAAGCAACAACGGTTAGCATGGTGCCTGTGGCGCTTGTAGGCCACTCATTTTGTTTATTTGAATTACCCTTTTTTCATTCTTTTACATTTCCTTTTCCATCTCTTCTCTTTTTATACCTTGTCATCAGAGCCTCTTTGTGTGGTGGTGGTGGTGGGATGATTTCAGCTCCTGATTGCTTTTGGCTCTTATTGTATGTACTCATGTATAAGTGTACCTCGAACATATGTCGAAAGTAGGTTTGGGGTCCAGAGTTATGGATTTGGATAAGTCAACAATCACACCATGGAGAGAGGAAAGTGCTAAAATAATTTCAGGAGACGAACTGCCATGGCCGTCACCGTTTTCCTGTTCAGGCACTCAAAAAGGCCTTTTGACACTCAAGAGAATTTTTTTTAGTAAAACTTAAAATACAATCTTAACTTACCAAAAAACTAACCACCCCCTTCTCTGCATAGAGTGGCAAAAGGCAAGAGTTTAGTCTATCCCGGGAGAACCTAAAAGAAGGATCAACTTCTCTACTCTTGGTGCTTCTTTTGAAGGGGAAGCACCAAAAGGCTACAGCAGCCTCCATTTTCCCATTCAGGCAGTGTTGGTGTCTCCCCCACAGACCTCATCCCATACAACAGGGGTCCTCAAACTAAGGCCCAGGGGCCGGATGCGGCCCTCCAAGGTCATTTACCTGGCCCTTGCTCAGGGTCAACCTAAATCTCAAACGACTTGAAAGCACATAACAACAACAATCCTATCTCATCAGCCAAAAGCAGGTCCACACTTCCCATTGAAATACTAATAAGTTTATATTTATTAAAATTGTTCTTCATTTTAATTATTGTGTTGTTTTAAAGTGGTTTTGTTTTCACTGCGAATAAGATATTGCAGTATGCATAAGAATTCATTTATGTTTTTTCAAATTATAATCAGGCCCTCCAACAGTTTGAGGGACTGTGACCTGGCCCTCTGTTTAAAAAGTTTG